GAAAGCACCAGATAGAAGGAGGGAGTACGAAGCTGAAAGATTTTCAAAGGCCGATGACAAACAGAGCCAAAGAGAAGCACGTGTGACTGACCATACTCGGCATTCCGGAGAAATGTTGGTGACAATGGAGAAATGAACAATGCATATCAATTCATCAGTTGGGTGGACAAGATCAAGGCATCAATCAAATTTGAGTGATTTCAATCATTACACTCAAAAATTATTGATAGGGCGCTATAGGACCCACTACCTAAAGTTAGTGGGCATGTGTTGGGATAAGCCCAGACTCTCATGCCAGGGTTCCCTTTGGGATGCGATGAGAGTTTGGTCCGAGACTAAATAACACGATACAGAAGCGTTTCAACTTTCCACCCTGCGCCAGAAACTAATTATTATCTGCGACTGCCTACCCCTACGCTAGGTGCATCCACTAGCGTGTCCTTGATCATGACAAAAGCCATCCCACCACACGTACAGACTTCCAACATATGCTCCCCAAAACATCCCTATTGTGTCTTCATTGCACTGGACAGCGTACCATAGACCCATGACCGATCTGTCCACGGGAAAACTGTCGGTGTCTCCCCGTAGACAGATCGGTCATCGCTCTAAGGGCACCAGACTTTATGAATATTGACTTCAGACGGCATCCCTCCGGCCCTGATGATTTTTTTGGTGGGATTAGTTTGGCGTGTGCTTCTTGGTATGCTTACTGTGTCTCACAAAGGTCCCTCCGCCCCATTGACATGCTAGTACTCCAGCTGGAGTTCGATGGTAAGATTGAATTCCATGTCTAATCTTCAGCTCATACCCAAGCGAACGCACCAACCCAATGTTGTGTATGGTGCACACCGGCTCTCTTTTGACTTGGCTTTGAAGAACGTCTAGCTTGCAGTACGGCGTTCCGCTCCCCGCGTCCGAATATTTCGTTTGATTTGGTTTTCTGGCTTGCAACTATTATCCTCACCACAAGAAGTAACCTCAGGCGCTTCAACTGGGCAAGCAGAACTGGACTTTTGATTTATTCTGCCCAACAAAGTTGCCTCGATAATCTGGCATATACAGGCAGCGGGCGTGATGTACGGTACACACGAGCTCTCAATTGGATTGGTTGTTTCAGAACGACGAACGTCTAGCTCGAGGTTCCGGGGTTCGACTGCCCGCGTCCGAATATTCTCTTGGTACCACAGATCCCTTTGTCCTTCGATTCTGAATTTATACTGGCGGTGAATATTGTGGTTGCCTCGAGCCTTCTCTCTTTGAAGTCCACGAGGCGAGTAGCGGGCAATACGGGATTCGACTCCTGCGTCCGAGATGTTGCTTGGATTTTTGCCTTTTGAATCTCCTATTTCCTCGTGTAGAATTTCGATTAGGCCTTAGTCCACAGCAATAATTAACCTCCTGTTTAGGTAACACAAGGCCTGCAATTTCCTCTCGGTGCGATGCAGTTTGGGATGCAAGTAGCTCTAAGCCAGGGTTCGAGTCCCGGCGTCCGATTTTCAAAGTTATTCTCAGCTTTTTCCTTCCCCAGTGCATCCTTGTTTAGGCTCTGAATCAGAACAAGGCTCGACTGGGCGTAGTTCCATACACACCTTGAACCTAAGCCCAGTGTTCTGGCGGAAATTCTTGGGCTCCTGCCAGAACACTATCTTGTCTCACCCAAATCTTCTCATTTTTCCCTGTACAGTCGAGTTCCTCATACGGAATACCGCCGGGAAGGACCCAAAGGGTATTCCATATGGCGGATATTCCATAGAGCAAAAATTGAATAAAAAAATGTTTTTTAATAAAAGGTTCTGGATGAGTATTCAATTGAAAAATGGGCTTATTTTCTCGCATTCTCCACCTCCTGCACCATAGCTGCTGAAAATTTGTGCAGATGACCTCCCGATGGTCCAAATCCAGCTGAGTTTGCACAATCTTTTGTGGAAGAAGATGGTCATGGTAGGAGAGGGAAATGAGGAATTGATTATTTACACACAATAAAGGTACATAATGCACAAAATTCTGATGTCACCATGATCAGGAAGTCTGAAAGTCACCAAAAATGGTTACTTGGCCACCCACTTACCATTTTTGGCCACCCTTACAGTGGAATAATGCCCCTGCCAGCCGATTCCGTATTCCAGATGACGGAATATGGAATATTGCCCTATCCCAAAGTGGGACAGGCCCAAAGGCAATTCCATATGAGGGGTATTCCATATGGGGTGATTCCATATGAGGAACTCGACTGTACATCCTCACACCAATCTCAAAAAGCTCAGCGGGACCGATTATTTTATTTCGACGTGGTTGTTTTCATTCCCTCCATCAGAATCCGCAAGATCAATGCGTACGCGTCGCGCAGCCTGACGATGCCCGACGGTGCACGAGCGTACATTACATTAATAGCATCATATTAAAAAGGAACGAATAGGCGCCCCTAACCATCCCTCCCCCTTATGTAAGCTTCATCAGTCTCGAGAGACGGACTGGGAAAGGAGAGAGGAAGACGGGTAGAGGGGAATGAGCAACCACGCATCCAACTCGAAAAGTAGAATCGGTGGGAAGAGCACTCTGTCGTATGAAGAGATGGAGTCGTTAGCCAGGCTGTGAATATACGAGTCAGCGCTTGGTCGAGGAAGAAGGTGGGGAGAAACGAAAAGAGAAAGGAAGAAAGACTCCTGCACAATCGGCAGGAGGGAGGAGGGAGGAGGGGAGGCCCGGCAAGAGCAAAGAAGGCGGGGGAGGGGTGTACGAGCCCGGGCCACCCTGCGCAGGAGAGGCACGCTGGAGTAATCCTATCCAAGATCTCGTGAAGGAGAACTGGGGCGCGTGCAGTCCGCACCATCGCTGCGTGCTCCTCTCCGCCTGACCGCCCGGCTCCGTTGCCCACTCCCAAATCTCAGCCCCGCAAATCCGCGGCGGAGATCGAGGATCACGCGCCAGCGCTCTCTTTCTCTCCGTCCCGCTCCCCGTTTCACTTTCGCTCGCCCATACCATGCACAGGGGGAGGGAGAGATATGCGCACAGAGATCCAATGGCCCAGCGCCGGCTCCACCACCCGCGAAGACATCCACTCCGACGTCGCGTTCCATTGCGAGACATCAACACAACACGTCCATCCGCATCCCCGCGTAGCCGACGCAGGAGATACAGGGACGATCGCACCAAACGCGCACCCGTCCGCGCCCACCCCGACGATGCCCGTGTGCACGAGTAGTACGATATATCCTACGAAATGATGGGTGCGGCGGGCGCTTATTGGACATCTAGCCCTCTTCCGTCTTTCGGTCGGAGGGAAGAGAGCAGAGGAAAGGAGGGAAGAGAGGCAGGGAGGAGATGGGGATGGAGGACGCACCAACGAAATCGCTCTCTTCCCATGAGATGATTGCGTGTTTGGGCACCACGCTGTACAGATACGAGTCAGTAAGGCAAGGAGGGACAAAGAACTAGGAGGAAGCGCCGGGAGAAAGAGGTGGAAGGCCCAGCCAGGGCAAAGAAAGAGAGGGAAGGGTAAGAGCCGCGCCGTGCTTTACTCCTGTCCAGCGAAGGAAGGCGCTCTGAAGGAGTACCCAGTTCGCGCTATCCCTTCCTGGTCCTCTCACCTCCCCGCTCTCGAAGCCCAGCGCGGGACGTGGGAGGGAAAGAAAGAGGATCGCGTGGCCATCTCCGCGTGCGATGGCATGCTAGTACGCTCCGGGGAAGCGAGGACGCCGCAGACACTGCAGCGCGGACGCGCTGTGCTCGTGGTGACTCCCCCTGCGAGAAGTGGGAGCGAGAAGGAAAGAAAGGAATGCGCACCTCACGCGAGCCACTCCCACTTCCACCACTGCCCGTCCTTCAGTACCTCCGAATCGTACATACTGAGGAAGCTCGCGGCTGCTCGCGGAGTCGTTTGAGAGGAGAGGCAGGTCGCGTTCTGCAGGATGCATAAGCCCGCAAGGCACAGGATAAGGGGAGGAGGAGAGGAAGCCAAGAGACGGGGAGATGGAACAGATTTGCACCGGGGTCAGCAAGACGCGTAGAGATACCCCCTGGGCGCCTAGGCCTAAGCATCTAATGCAGACAAAAAATGTGCATCGGAATAGAGGAATCCAGGACACGTCTCGCATCTTCTCGTTTGGAACTCTTCGTCCGAGCGGCATGGATGATGTTCGCCTTCGTGGTCGGAGAGTTGCTACCGGTACAAGGTTCCAATAGAGTTGCCAGTCCAGCGAATAGTCAAAGAGAATCAAGATCATGGTGGAGGCGAAAGAGGAATGCGTTGCACTGCCACCTGCGCTTGTCGGGATCAGTTGGCGGCCGAAAAAGCCGAGATTAGATCTGCACGCCGATCTCTTTGCCTCCCGCGTGCGATCGTACCTCTTCCGCCACGGCGTGACGGAGCCGACTCTGCATCGTCTAAGCCAGGGTAGATCCAGCGCATCCTCCAATATCCTGCGCACCGAGACATCTCATTGCGTCTAGATCTTCACTGCACTGGCCGGCACTTTATGCATCGCAAGATCGCCCTTGTGCCTTTATGATTTTTTGGTGCCCGAGTTGTCCCACGGAAGTTCCCTGTGTCCCCCTCTCCAGATCTGCAAAGGTTGGCAACTAGATTCAATTCCACGTCTAATTTTCAGCTCATACCCAAACAAACGCAAGCGCTGAGCAAGGATTAGGATGTGGTGTACAGTCCACACGGGGTCTCGTTTCGATGGGTTAGGTGAGAAAGTCGATATCGGGTGCTCTTCAAGAGCCGGGAAACAAGTAGCTCGCGGTACAGGATTCGACTCCCCGCGTCCGAATAATCAATTCTCGTAACTTCCTTTTTTCAAAAAATTTCGTGCCACCTTGACATTTGCTTTTGTGAACCGCGGCCTTCCTCCGTTTTGGATCTCGGGGTCCAAGGGTCTATAGGAACTCGACCGCATCAACTGTTCAGGGAGTACAATTTAATCCCGGTACGTTAACCTCTCCCCAGTTGGTTCAAACAAGTTGCCTCAATAACCAGGAATAAACATATACAACTATCGGGCGTGGTGTATGGTACACATCGGGTGCTCTTGAAAAGGCGGGAGACAATTAGCTCGCGGTACGGGGTTCGACTCCCCGCGTCCGAATAATCAATTCTCGTAACTCCTTTTTTATTTCATGCCGCCTTGACATTTTTTTGTGGAATACGCGCTTTCAACTCTTACCAGGCGATCGCTTAACGAAAAATAGCTTCGGGTGTCTCAGCTGTTTAAGTAACACTGGGTATTCAATATGTTCTCGTGCGCAGACTCTCTGGTTGTTTCGTTCAAACAAATCATTTTACTCGCCACCTTTGAGCAGCGGTGACGAATTTATTCCTCCTCAAGCCTATTTTGCGGAACGCGCGGCATTCCCCATTTCGTATCTCAGACTCTACGAGGCGGAAATACCCACCTTTATAACACTGGGCCTGCAATTTATTTCGAGTGTGTTGTCTTTCTCCTGTTCGCTCTTGTGTTCGAATTTACTCGATGATTTGGCATGAACCTATGCATGCATACGGTACACATCGTGTCTTCCTAAACAATGCTTTCGATGGCATTTTAACTCGCGGTATGGGGTTGCTGTGCCATCTTTCCTTTTTCCCCACCGGTTGCTCATCCAAAAATCTGCTGCGTAGGTCCAAGTAATACTGTCAGACAATAATGCGTCTTCGTGAATTCCAACCAAATCTCTGGGTTATTTTTACTCCTGTCCTGCGCCCATAGAACAAGAATCAACGAACATGGTGTACCGAACACAGCAAGAGTTCATTGGTGACCCACCAGATATAGCTCACAATCCGGGGTTCGACTCCCTCTCCCCCCAATTCCTGTTTCCGACGAAATTCTTTATCAGCGTCGGTGACACTACCTGCCCAGATCGAATAATTGGCGAACACATGAACTCGGATGTGGTGTACGGAACACATCGAGTTTCCTGCCAGCCTTTGTTTGAATCCTACCTCGCTGTCTGGGGTTCAACTCCCCGCCTCCAAATGCTCGATTGGAAGTCCTCTTTTATTCCTCAAGATCTTTTTACCAGAATCGGCATGGATTTGACTTTCTTTTGAAGCATTGTGGGCCTAAGGAAAGCCGAACTTAGACCCACATAAACCGAGGCAGCGCCAATTTCTTCGAGATCCTTTTTCGCCCAGCTGCAGAAGATCAAGATGCTGATCACCGGGCAAGTTGTCGGGTTGAAGCACTTTGTGAAGGGCATTATTTTACTTGTAATGAATGCGGATATGGAGGTGGTGCAGCCCGAGGAAGATCAGGAGTGGGGCATGATACAAGGTGTTGTAGGCAGCGATGTGCGGGTAACTCGGGCAGCATGCGGCAGCTGTCGATTTAGTCGGGCGCCGCAGTGGGTTGTGATGTTGTGGGGCGGCGAGTTGACATTGAATGGCAACTGAAGTCCCGAAGCTTCCATGTAACTTCCCGGGACTCCCAGACAAATAAGTGTGCCAGGTGAATTTTCAATTAGGACTGGTGAAATAACTGCGAAGACTACTTCGCAATCGGGGATTGGCAGATTCGTACCATTTCTATTGTGCGTTTAGCTCTCGACACATCGTGCGATGTGAGTTAACTGGAGGGTGGCCGCAGTGACAGCAAGCTATAAATTGAGATGGTCAAAATAATCAGCGAGTCGGTCTGCGACATCTGACGTATTCGGCGCAAAAATCAGTCAAATTCAAAATAAATGGTACAGAAGAGGAGTACCGAGTAGGTCTAAACACCAAAGAACAGAGTTAATGCTGTAGATTGCACGCTTGTGGAGTGGCCAATGCAGATTTAATCTTGGACAGGGCAAATGCTACAGTGGTGAGGACGGGAGATCAATTTCGCGCGAATGAGTTCTTGTGTTGTTCCAACTGACGTCTGGTGCGATCTGCCAATCGTTGAGCCGCAAATCAGATCGGATACCTGAGGCAAGTGGGCATCGATGTTAGGTATTTGAAACCATGATGTTGCTGAACAAGTATTGCGGACGGAAATCAATTGATTGAAAGAAAATTGTGATACAGTAGGGAGATTTACCTTCCCTCTCGAATGTGAGCACAAGCAGTAGGAGGCTGCGCGAGCACATTTTCGAATGTCGGGAAATAACGACATCCGGCCAGATTGAAGGAAGTTGAAGAGGCGAAATATGGACAACACATACGCCGATGGCGGCGAAGTAAAATGTGTGCAGAAAGCTTGTTTACTCTGTTGGGAATAAAAACCGACATCGAATCTCACAGGGAACATCCTGCTTCAAGAGAGTTCGGGGTGTTGTGGGCATGGAACTGGCACGGTAACCGATAAAAACGTGGAGAAGCAGAGATTGGTACTCGAACACGCTTTAATATGGACCCCCCGCACGGGACAACAGAGAAAAGAGATGAATAACCGTGGTTAATTGCGTCGCGGGATGATTCAGGGTGGCGAGGGCGGAAAACGGGTGAATGGAGACTGAGAGGCGCACAAAGAAGAAATTTACAGGAGCTGTATTGACGAGGTGAGTACGGCGGACTAGATAGCCAAGCAAAATGAGGTGATCGCATACGGATGCGACGGAACATGCTCGCGGAGCTGACGTGCGAAGCGATGGGGGAAATGAAAGGGAGGTACGCACCCGAGAATGAAATGTGGTCGGGCGACAGCGAAAGCGCAAGCAGGCGCGCGCGAGGGGGTAGAAACGGTAGCACGCGCATCGGAAGCGCGAGCGAGCGTAGACAAGCAACAGTCTCGATTACAACTGGCGCAGGTGGAGATACGAGGCACTGCGGCTCATCATTCAGCGGCGGCGAGGCGATGATGGCGCGGCGTCGTCTCGCCCACACGATGCGGAGCATCACGCGCAGGATACGTGGGCGTGCGGCGGATAAGGGGTGCTTGGGATAACATACTCCGTGGCCGCCAAAGAAGGCGCATTCGCCATGAGATTGTGTCGCGCGGGCTGGATCGAGACGTGGCGGCACAGAAGAATGACGCGCACGGTAGGATGACCAGTCTGTAGGTGACCCGGCGTCGTGGGAGAGCGTGTATTCACTGTTAGCGTCAGTCAGATCTGCGAAGGAATGACGCAGCACGGACTGCTCGCAGCGGCATCAGAAGATGGCATGGGAGGCCCACGCTGGGTCAGCGGCGGGGACATATCGACGCATCGTTGGAGGTGCGGTCCAAGCACAGTCACACAATTAACTCGAATTGGGTACAGCACGCTAGGGGAGGAAAATGAGTATGAGTGTCCAAGTCAAGGGGCGACACACCGCGTTCGAGTGCAGAAGAGTAGAACTGGCAGACATCCAGCGGATACTGCCTGTATAACGAAGCTCGGCGCAGAGGACGAAGCGCGGGTGCAAGAAATACGGTGCGGGGGCAGTGGTGCGTCCTTCAGCATCTGGCCGATCAGTCCTGGAGCTGTGGGGTGCGGGGGCGACCACTTCGGCATCGGCGTCGAGGCGGAAGGCAGGGAACGGACGCGCATGGCAGCGTTGAGATAGAGATCTAAACAGCTTCAATGGAAGCAGCGGGCAGTGTGCGAGGAGCGCGCCGAAATCGAATAAGGCGAGCGGGCGCGAGCCCACATGACGCGGCGCCGCATATAGCACGGACCAATGAGGGTGTCCCTGGTGTACGGTGGACGGCACGGGCTCAGCGCTCAGCAGCGGGCGTCCATCTGCAAAGCAGGCAGGACTGACGGCACATCCTGTGTCCAACACCGTTCACATCGAGATCGAGAAGAGGCGAAGTCGACGTCGAAAGGGAAAGCAAGTCAGGGGTACTAGGCGGGATTGACGGGGTTCAGCGCAGCATGCGACTCCACGGCCAGTGAGCCCACACAATGCAGCGCGGAGATACAGTATGTACGGCGTGCTCACGCAAAAGAAGCGGGGCCGGTGGGGCATCCGACACCACACTGACTGCCCAGTGCGATTGTGTCGTCGGTGTCGGGGTCTAGACTACGATCAGCGCAGCGCCGTGAATTGCATCTTGAAGGGAGTGTTGCGCGTAGGCAGAACGACGGCAGCACAGCCACTTGATTGGCAGCTTGCATCCGACTAAGTATGTTCTATTCTAGCTCGCACATCATCTGCGCTTCACAGCACGCTGGACAACAAATATTGCTCGGTGCTCATTTTCGGCGCTCAATGCTCAGCCTTTCAACCAGTTTCCGTGAGCGCACCGGCTCCCGCGCCAAAATGACGTCCCTCGAGTTCCATGTTTGAAATTCCATGTCTTGATCCTGGAACATCCGGGCTGGCTAGATTTCATACGAGCATCCCGAGTTGCAGTGTCCAGCCCTCTACGTAGCAGGTCATAGGTATTCTTATGCCTCTCCGAACCCAATGCCTCATGCACCACAATACAGCATCTTAAATTAACTCCGATGTCGAATTGCCGAGCACGAAATGAAAGTGCCACTGTCAGACGGCTATACAGCATCTCAACTTCGATGCTGAATTGGCGAGCGCGAGTGAAAACGCCGCTGTCAGACAGCTGTGTGTGAGTAAAGCAAAGCCTTAGACGGTGATGCAGGCACACACACGCATGCATAATGTTCCGCAACACACCACCGGAGCGAGGTTCGCTGATGTTGGCGTCGGGAGGATATTTGTACGGAGGTTTCGAATGGATATTTACCTTCCCGCCACACCATGTCCTCGGGGGTGCGAGATAGGTGCCAATGAAAACACTCAGAGCGGCGACACTGGGCATCTACGTTGCATTGCCAATGCAGGGCATGCTTTCAACGTGGCAGGTACCAATATGGCCGGATCTATCTTAAGATTGGGATCCGATGGTAAAGAATTCGGAGTGATCCGGTATCGATGGTCCCATGTGTTTACAACCACGTTGGTGCGGCGTGGACATCTGAGATATATTTGATCGACTTTTTGGCCTTTAGCTTCTCGACCTTTCCCCTCACAATGATGTTCAGGCTGAGACCAGTGTGAGTATTCGAAATTTTCTGGTGAGACTGTTGATTCAATTCATGTGCTTTGAATAGTATTCAGCTTCACAGTAAATACCTGCCTGTCATTGCTACCAAACCATTATACTTAGTCCTTTCTCACAGATATCCGTATCACCTCCTTAACTAACCCCCACAATGATCT